AGGTGGCGTAGAAGAAATATATAGGTTTCAGGCACCACGACAAGCAACGTCTGCGGTCGTTTACCTGCAAGTGGTAGAAGCGGCCATATCAAAGACGCTGTAGCTTTGCCGCTATGGAACCGATCGAACGTCCAGCAGCTATATTAAAAATTGACGCCAAGTCCATAGTCCTGTCTCAATCAGCATATCTGCTACATGTTGAAACACAGCGAGCGTGGCATCGTCGTTGTAGGTGACAGTCACGTAAGTCGTAACCTTTTTCTGTCATGGATTTCTCACATGCAGCCTCTTAGGAACTTAAAAGCCCTCCGCTTTTTCTGTCACGCAATAAGCCTGCATGAACACTGTAATTACTCACCTCGGAAGTGCATGTGTGAACGCTTTTTTGCATGAAGAACCGTGTCTGTAGGCCACTTTGTTGAGTCATCACGTCAGCACACAATACCGGCAATGAAATCGCGGTCATTAACGATTCGGATGCCTCCGACCAAGCCATTTTCTCACCGCGAGCACAAGTGATTCGAAGACCACCAATCTCATCATTTGTTTGGTTTCGTGATGCTACAACCTATAAATGGTAATCACGTTGTGCGTTAGCCACCATTGTCTGGTGTTGTCGTTAATAAGATCTAGCTGAATTTCACATCGTTACGCGGATAGACCCCTGTTCCAAAAATTGAGTCACCATCCCCATTTTTTCTCATGTTTGTAACTTCTTGAGTTTCGTTTACAACTGAGGACAATTAAGTTGCTTTCTGATTGACTAATTAACGGTCAGTCTGTCCCTATGACCGAAATTCTTTTAATCGATGTTCCAGTAAAAAGTGGCTCCAGTCATTTCTGCTCACAGCGTTGTTTTTACTATCCGAATAGGTTCTGTTTTTATACCAGTTTGGTTGACATTTCTGAAACAGACGCATTTCCATCATCAGATGTTATGAATTGATGGGAGCCTGACGTAAAATCATAGTTTTCATAGATCTCTGCACAACTCTCCCTGTAGTTGTGGCTGCAGGCGCGACTGGTCACCGATCTGGCGAACGAATCATATATCTGAAAAAAGATCGCAAGTCACGTTGCTGTTGTGGCATGGCGAATGTTGCCTGTTATCAAATAGTGCTTCTTTCACTGTCCGACAAAACCCTGAGATTTTAGACTGTTTGGCCTAAAAGATGGGTGGGTACGTGCACTTTGGAATCTAGTCACAACCCTGGCTCACCCATGCCCTCTTGCGTAATCGCATTCTGACAGACATAGGATAAGTCCTGTTGGAGGACGATGATCAGCGCACTGTGGTCGAGCTTGGCCAATTCTA